TGTCCCCACCACTACCGTCCCCACCACTGTCCCACTGTCCCCACCACTGTCCCGCTGTCCCCTCACCACTGTCCCCACCACAACCGTCCCCACCACTGTCCGCACCCCTGTCCCACTGTCTCCGCACCACTGTCCCCACCACCACCGTTCCCACCACTGTCCCAACATCCCCACCACCGTTCCCACCACTGCCCCCGAAGAGCGGGCATCGTTTGCCGGCGGCGAAGGGGAGGGGGGGGGCTCGAACCGGTAGTGACCCCCCCCCCGGTTTTCGAGGGGGGGGCGGGGGAGGGGGGGTCCGAACCGGTAGTGACCCCCCCCGGTTTTCGAGGGGGGGGGGGAGGGTTCGAACCAGTAATGACCCCCCCCCCTTTCATGATAGACTGGGGGGAGGGGGGGGGGGTCGAACCGGTAGTGACCCCCCCTGGTTTTCGAGGGGGGGGAGGGGGGACAGGTTAGGAACCCCCAGTGACCCCCCCTGGTTTTCCGCCAACAGCGGTAGAACACGCGCCTTCGAACATCATAATCCTAGATGAGGTCGGAGTGGACGCCGTCGAAAGATCGTGCCGCATCGCCGATGCATCGCCGATGTAGCGGCGATGCATCGGCGATGCATCGGCGACTTCGGCGTGTGGAGACACGGGCTCCACATCGTCGATGCATCGGCGATGCGGCGCGATCCTCCGACCCCATCTACTCGGACCGGACCCCGTCTAGGAGGCCTAGACTCTTTGAACGCCCGAAATGGGTACGGGAAGAATGGGCACGATGTCCAACAACACATGTGGCCAAAACCGGTAGCGGCCACTGTTGGGCACCCAGCCTCTTGCCTCGAGCGGACGGCGTCGGCGGCAACACCGGCAGCACGTTCTGGTTCAAATGGGCACGAGCTACCGTTCTCTCCGTACCCACTTCGAGCGTGCCAAAACTAGGGGGCCACATGCGAACCCTACCTCTACCCCCCACGATTTCTGAGGGGGAGAGTGGGGTTCACTTCGTTCGGGAGCTCCCGAGCGAAGTGAACCCCACCCTCCCCCTCAGAAATCGTGGGGGGTAGGGGTAGGATTCGCATGTGGCCCCCTAAAAAAAACCCAGATCAGTCTGCATCGAACCAGGAGATCAGACCGCATTGAAGCGCGCGTCGGACCGGGCAGCGTCGGCACGGAGACGAAGTCCACTCGACTCGGCTGCACCGGGCTGCACCAGGGCGCCATGCGAGCACCGGGCAGCGCAAAAAATCGCTGGGAAGCCGAAGCCGAGTCGGACCGAGCCGGGCCCCTGAGATCTGGCGCAGCGAACGTGATCCGCCGATCCAGCGTGTAAGTTTCTGAGAGCGTGGACTTGAGCTCGCTCAAGCTTCGCTCTGCAAAGGGGAGGGCGCCATTCCCGGCGCATTCAGAGTGTTCGGGGGCGGCCCACCGGCCCCCAAGAAGCCCCCAGGAGGCTCTGGAAAGGAGGGGAGGGAGACGCCATTCCCGACGCATTTAGTGCTCGGGGGCGAGGGGGCCGACAGGCCCCCAAGAAGCCCCCAGGAGGCCCCAGAAGGCCCCCAAGACGCCCGAAAGAGGCCCAGTAGGCCCCAAAACGACCCCCAAGAGGCTTCCCAAGGTCCCTTGCTCAATCCCCTGAGCCTCAGTCCTCAAGCCTGAGGATTCTTAATGGGCCCGGACCCAAAGCTCTCAAATCTCTTGAGGCTCCCAACGCACCCTCTGGGGCCCCCAGAATGTTCCCTCATGACTTGAGCCCGAGAGAGACCCAAGACGGGCCAACAGGGCCCCCAAGAGGCCCTCAAGACGGCCCAAGAAAGCCCCGAATCACCGACCAATCGGTCCAAGACGCCCAAGATGGCCCCGTGGCCACTACCATGATAAACATCGTCAAAATCATCGTCATCGTCATCGTCATCGTCATCGTCATCATCATCATCATCATCATCATCATCATCATCATCATCATCATCATCATCATCATCATCATCATCATCATCATCATCATCATCATCATCATCATCATCATCATCATCATCATCATCATCATCATCATCACCACCACCACCACCACCACCACCACCACCACCACCACCATCATCATCATCATCATCATCATCATCATCATCATCATCATCATCATAATCATAATCATCAGCATCAGCATCAGCATCAGCATCAGCATCATCATCATCATCCTCCTCCTCATCATCATCATCATCATCATCATCATCATCATCATCACCATCGGAATCAGCATCATCACCATCAACGTAATCATCAGCAGCAGCATCAGCAGCAACATCATCATCATCATCATCATCATCATCATCATCATCATCATCATCATCATCATCAGCAGCATCATCATCACCAGCATCAGTATCCAGAGCGCCCCGGATCGGCGGCACTGGCCGGAGGCCAGCACAATACAACGTCGTGAAAACTCATGACCAGGAGCCCCAGACCCCATCCTGCTGCACCATTCTTCGAGCCGGATGGACCTGCGAGGCTCCCGGCGGGGCTCGAAAACGCCTGGCTTCAAGTCGTGCCTGTCCCCCTTACAGGGGGATTTACGACGAAAAATAAAAAATACCCCCCCCCCCCAAAAAAAAAAAATAGTCGGGGTACCATGTTTTGAATATTTGTTTACCCTTTTGGTGCATGTTTGGGGTATGTTTTATTTTGCCGTCGAAAATCCCCCTGTAGGAGGAGGAGGAGGAGGGAGGAGGAGGGAGGGAGGAGGAGGAAGGAGGAGGGAGGAGGAGGAGGAGGAGGAGGAGAGGAGGAGGAGGAGGAGAGGAGAGAGGAGGGAGGAGGGGGAGGGAGGAGGGGGAGGGAGGGAGGAGGGAGGGGAGAGGGAGGAGGGAGGAGGGAGGAGGAGGGAGAGGAGGGAGGAGGGAGGAGAGGAGGAGGAGGGAGGAGGGAGGAGGGAGAGGAGGAGGAGGAGGAGAGAGGAGGAGGAGGGAGGAGGGAGGAGGGAGGAGGAGGAGGAGCAGGAGGAGGAGGGAGGAGGGAGGAGGAGGAGGGAGGAAGGATCCCAGATTCCAGGCGCCCGACCGCGGGCCCCCCGAGAAGGCCGAGAGCGAGGGACGAGGCCAACAAAAAAATTGGAGCACGCAGTCGTCGGACGCCGGGGCCCGCCGTGGCCGCGGGCACGGCCCCCAGGAGGCCCCCACGGAAACTGTGAGGGGGCCAGAGGACACACAAATCAAATGCACACAGGTAAAAATAGATTCCCCACAGTGTCCCCTATGTTCTGGGTGTTTGCCTTCTTCCCCCCCCCCACACTTCCCATATGTTCCCATATTTCTGGGGAATCGACGATGATTGTGTCTGGGTTTTTGTCCCCCCCCCCCCACTTCCCATAGTTGCCCATATTTCTGGGGAATCGACGAGTAATTGTGTCTGTCTGTGTGTGTGTTTTCCCTCCCGAGTCTGGGCCCGCCGTGGCCACGGGACGCCCCCCGGGAGGCCGCAGCAAAGAGTTAGCCCGGCGAAGGGCCAGACCATACGCAGGCTGCGAGCACCGCAGTCGTGAGTAGCATCTTCGGTGGAGCTCCCTACATTGAGGGATGAAAAAACGACCCTACCCTGGGTTACAAGTGCGTGGTCTGTAAACCTCCTGGGAACCCTCAAAGCCTAGAGCCGCCAGGACGCGGCACATCACGCAGGGTTTACCCTAGTAAACCAGGGTAGGGGCGTTTTTTGCGCCCTTGACTACAGTCGAGGCGTTGACCTAAGGGAACCCTAAATAAGGAACGAGGCCCCTTTTTCCCACAAGTTCAGCCTCGATTTCCCGTCGAAAACACCAGGAAAACCCGAGGCAAGCTGTGAAACAATCAAGGAACACCGAGCCCCTCCCCAACGAAAAGGGTTCCTTCTTCAGGGCCCCGACTGTATGCGGCCACGCGACGTGTGAGGGGTGTGCCGAACTGAGTGTGGGGGACGCATGCGGGCCGAGGCGCCCCCCAGGAGGCCCCAACAGGAAGTGCGGAGATCGCCAGGGGGGGGGGCCGCCGAAGTCTCGACCTCGCCCTCCTCCTTCGGGGATGCGCTGAGCCAGGTCAGTCCCAACCCGAAGCTGATACATTCTAAAACCGTGGCAAATCGCAGAAAAATCTGTCGGAACAGCACTGAGACGTTCAGCCTTCTCAGCCAGCCCGGGCGTCGTCTACCCCAAAACCCAAACCCTGGACAGTCGGGCAGCATCCTGCAAAATCCTGCAGGATCCTGCACGCAGGCGTGCACCTCAGGCCCCGCGGGCTCCTGCAACCTCCAGCGCCCTGGCTGACCGCCGTTTGGGGAATCGTACAAAGATCGCCGGAAAGGGGGGCAAAAAACCGTGGGAAAACACACACACACACACACACGTGGGAAAACACACACACACACGTTTTTTGTCCCACAGTCTGTTTTTTGTTCCCACGGTGTGTGTTTTTTTCCCACGGTGTGTGCTTTTTCCCACGGTTTTTTTCCCACTCTCACAGAATGGGACGATTCGGAGAGGGAGGAAGACAGGGATGCCCTGGTGCTGCCCAGTGCTCACGCCTGGTGGCCGGGCCAGAGGTGCGCACCCCAGACCAGGACTTGGCGGACAGGGGGCGGAGCCCTGCACGCGCCGCCAAGGCACAGTTCACGATGCGCGTGCGCATACAGTCGGGGCGTTGACCTAAGGAACCCTAAATAAGGAACGGGGCCCCTTGTATCCATAAGTTTGACTTCGGCCTCCCATCGAAAACCGGAGGAAAACCTTGGGCAGACTGTGAAACAAACAAGGGCAACCGAGCCCCTCCCCAACGAAGAGGGTTCCTTCTTCAGCGCCCCGACTGTACACAACACGACACTTTTTTACACAAAACAGACACGATTGGGTTGCGCACACCACCAACGAGCGGCAGCATGCGGGCACCGCCGACAAAACGCTTGGGTTTGGGGGGGGAGGGCCAACAAGTGGAGAGGGAGAATGTGGCGGGCTCCGCATGCATGATGGGCGTGACAAACTCACGGGCCCTAAAGGAAGAAATAACCGGCAAACGCGGCCAGAAAAGTGATGAAGCGAATCTTGTAGGGCGAGCTTGCAGCGCTCCACGTGCACTGCATGCGCTCGGACACGACAGGGCCAACGTTCGTAACGATCTCGTCGGCAGCCTCCTGAAGACCAGCAGTCTGAGTAGTTGCCAAGGACATGAAGTCCTTGACAGTATCGATGACCGCGGTTTTCATGGGGTAGATCCTGCTCATGTGGGGCAGCATCAACTCAGACATCTGCCAGACGTTGTGCAGAGCGGAATGCAGCGTGTTGAGTTTGGCATTGTAATTACTGATGTTGGCCATGAGGTCAGATATCTGCGAGCAAGCGTCAGCCAACGTCGCGCTCGCCAGAGAGCTCGCGTTCACGCGCAGCGGGACTGCCTGCGACCGCAGCTGCCTTACGATGGGAAGGAAGTTCTGCCGCAGTTCCCTCGGCATCACGACGTTGAGGTCCCTGGCAACCTTCTCCCCATCTGACTGCATTGCCTTGACACGGAAGGATGCCTCGTGGAAGAAGCGCGCCATAAGGAACGAGAGCTCCACATCCGACGCCTTGCTGCTCGCCAGCACGAACTTTGCCGTCTTGCGCCGAGTGATGTTGAGGAAATCCTGGATGGACCCCGTGATCTGATCCTTCGCCTTCCCCAGGCGTTTCATGAAGATCGGATTTTCCACCGCGTTGGGCAAGGACATGAGCACGTCGACCATGATCCCCAACGAGACGGGACCCAGGTAGCCTTCTGTCTCCTCGTGACCCTTCGCGCCCATGAGGGCCTGTGCCTTCTTGACCATCGCCTCCTTGGCGGCCCGCTTCGCCTCCAGGACCGCAAGGCGCTCCCTGTCCTTGGCCGCCTTGCGTTCGGTCGCGGTCTTGCGGCGCCTGTCGGCCTCCTGGCGGAGGGCCTTCATGGCATCGGTCGCCGCCCTCCTCGCCACCTCCATGTCGTGCTGCTTCTCCTTGAAGTAGGCCAGCGCCACCTTGAGGTGCTGGGTCTTAGACTTGAAGTCTGCCTCCAACACTGGAATCATCTCGTCCAAGGTCGATGTCAGATTCTCCGCTTTCCTCCGGCGAATCTGCGCCGAGTTCTGTCTCGTGCTGGGCTTGCCTTCCAGGCTCTCCAGGTCACCCAACAGCTGGTTCTGGTCGATCTCGACCGCTTCCCCGAGCTCGTCCCCGAATCCAAAATCCCTCGCCACAGCGTTGCCAGCGACGGCAAGGCAAACGAACACAGCCGTGGACATCATCGGCATCTGGAGGCGCGTCTATGGAAGCACGGTGCGGTGACAGATGTAGACAGCTTGGCAGGCACTAGGCTGGGCGGAGCAGCTACTGGCCAGAACACCTTGAGCCGAAATGGCTACGGAAGGGGAGGAGGAGGAGGAGGAGGAGGAGGAGGAGGAGGAGGAGGAGGAGGAGGAGGAGGAGGAGGAGGCGGAGAATGAGGCCTCCTGGGAGCCTCCTGGGGGGTTCCTGCTGGGAGCCACTCCTGAGGCACTCCGGAGGCCTCCCGGGAGCTCCCCTGGGGGGGGCCCCGTGCGCGAGGCCGACCTGCCTCGACTGCGCGCCTCCTGCGGCGACGTCGCCCGCCAAGAGCCCCTCGGCCCCCCTCGGGCCCGCCGGCAGGCCGGCTGCAAGCAGAGAGTGGCCCCGTGGGCGGGGAGCGGGCTCTGGTGCGTGGCCGCACGGGGGCCGCGGGGAGGCTAGAGCCCGGCGCCCCGGCCAACGCCGCTCGGACGTCCGCTGCCACTGCACGCTTCGGCGTCATGCGTGCATGTGCTGCTAGACGATCCAGGATGCTCCTCGACGGTCCTCGCCGGGGAAAAAAAACAAAAACAGACAACAAGAGCAACTATCACAACAACGGACAACAAAAAACACACACGCAAAAAAAAAAACATGTTAAGACTATTCGCCCTTATCTGCTCGAGGGTCTAATAACGCATATTTCCCAAACCCTCGATACCCGCCCTATTCCTCTTCGATCGAACCCCCTTCCTTTCTTCCCTGCAAGCCGGGCCCCGGCAAGCGGCGGGGCGGCCGCGGACCGTCGGCCTGGCCAGCGGCAGCGCTGATCGGCGGGGCGGTCGCGGACCGTCGACCCAACCCCAAGAGGGACGGACAGGGAACCAACCACGACGATGACGACGTCGACGACGACGGCGAAGACGACGACGACGACGGCGACGACGACCGAAAGCGAGAGCGAGAGAGAACGACAGCAAGGCCACGAAGGACACGAAGTAGGCCACGAAGGGCGACAGCGGGGACACGAAGGGAATGCGCATGGAGCCACGAAGAGCGCGAACGAGCGGGGGCCACGAAGGGCAGATAATGCGGGGCCGCAGAAGGCAACGATGGGGCCACTGAGGGTAGCAACTGGGCCACGTAGGACACTGAGGGGGCCAAAAACGGCGACAGCGGGGCCACGAAGGGCATGCACATGGGGCCACAACGGGCGCGACTCCTGGGCGCCTAGGTGTCGGGAGCGCGGCGCTTGAGCAAATTGCAAGAAGCTCAAACGCAAGGGCGCTATTCTTCAGTAAATTGCAAGCAAGTCTCCAGCGAGAGCGCGACTCCAGACCGCCGGGAGAGCGATTCCTGAATAAATTGTGAGGAAGCCCCAAGCGAGAGCGCGATTCGTAAATAAAATGCGAGGAAGTCTGGGGCGGGAGCGGGGGTCCTGGCGAAATAGTGAGGACGTTTCAGGCGGGAGCCGTTATTGTTGTAACCTGGGGGCCAGGGTGCGAGCGTCGAGGGGCACACTTTGATTGAGAAAAAACCAGATGCACCCGTGAGGGGGGATCAACAATAATTATTTCTGAAATGAGAGCCTGACAACAACAGCAACAAACACAAAAAAACAGCAAACAACAACAAAAACACCAACCACAACAACAACAACAACAACAACAACAACAACAACAACAACAACAACAACAACAACAACAACAACAACAACAACAAAAACAACAACAACAACAACAACAACAACAACAACAACAACAACAACAACAACAACAACAAGCACAACAACAACAACAACAACAACAACAACAACAACAACAACAACAACAACAACAGCAACAACAACCACAACCACGACCACAACCACAACAAACAACACACAACAAACAACAAACAACAAACAACAAACAACAAGCACAACAACAACAACAACAACAACAACAACAAACACAACAACAGCAACAAAAACCGACAACAACAACGACGACGACAACGACGACAACAACAACCAACAACCAACAACAACAACAACAATGACAACAACAACGATGACGACAGCAACAACTACTACAACAATAGTAACAACAACAACAATCATGTTAAGACTGTTGGCTCCGATCTGCCCTCGTGTCAATCAATACGTACATTCCAGACCCTAGATATTCGACCTCGTCGTCTTCGATGTCACCCCCTTGGGGGTATATCTGCCTTACCTGCCACGTGCATTTAGTGCAGCCCCTAAAAGAAGAGAAAAGAGGACGGTTGGAAGGGGAAGGAAGAAGAATGGAGCACGAGAGAAATTAGCACGAAGGGGGAAGGAGCAGAAAACAAGTGGTAGAACCAGACAGGCAGATCGGGTGGGCAGACCAATAGCGGGCAGGTCGGAAGGCGGGTCCAGGCGACGAGGTCGAGCAGGCGTGTTGCTGAAGCGTGATGAATCGCGAGGAAGCCTCGAGCGATAGCGAGATGCCCATGTACATCGAGAGAAAAGCCAAAGCGAGAGCGTGATTCCTGAGCGGCGAAGGCGCATCGTCTGAATAAATTGCGAGGAAGTCCCACGCGAGAGCGCGAAGCGCACATGAATTGTGAGGAAGTCCCGCGAGAGAGCACGATTTGGGAATATCTTGTGAGGACTTATCAGGCGGGAGCCGCTGTTGCTGTAAACCGGTGGCCAGGGGCTCAGTTTGAGCCCCGTGCCTTTCCCTAATAGAAAACAGGGCGCGAGCCCCGGGGGGAGCACTTCAATTGAAAAAACACAATGGTCACCGAAGAGGGGGACCAACAAGAATTATTCCTCAGATACAGGCGCGGCCTCCCCCAAAGGGGTCGGAACCGCGCGACAGCGCCTAGGATTCACAGCATTCACTTGCCAAGATTTTCTCAACTTCCACTGCGAAGGCAAGCGCCATGGAGGACATCCCATGGATGATTCTCGAAATAGCGCGGGCCGCAAACCGGCCCGAAGTGCAAGAATCACCACAAGATGCCACACAGTTGAAAACTTCAGCCCCATCCCCATACTCTGATGTCCTTGGGAGGGCGGGTGGGAAAAAAGGCGAGACAGGCAACGAACGCTAACAGGGAATCACACAGCACTGAAGGAGCCCTGGCGGGTCCCACACAAAGACCAGGCCCGCACCCGACGGGGAATGTCACTGGCTCTGGCTTCGGTGAATTGCCGGGCGGACAGCAATTACGAGTCCGCCTCCTCCTCCTCCGCCTCCTCCTCCTCCTCTCATTCCTCCTCTCATTCCTCCTCCTCCTCCTCCTCCTCCGCCTCCTCCTCCTCCTCCTCCTCCTCCTCCTCCTCCTCCTCCTCCTCCCTCCCTCCCTCTCCCCTCCCTCCCTGCCTCCCTCCCTCCCTCATCCCCTCCCTCCCTCCCTCCCTCCTCCTCCTCCTCCTCCTTCTCCGCCTCCTCCTCCTCCGCCTCCTCCTCCTCCGCCTCCCTCCTCCTCCTCCGCAGCAGCAGCAGCAGCAGCAGCAGCACATCAGCATCAGCAGCATCAGCAGCATCAGCATCATCATCATCATCATCATCAGCAGCATCACATCATCATCATCATCATCATCATCATCATCATCATCATCATCATCATCATCATACTCCTCCTCCTCCTCCTCCTCTTTTCGTACCATCTCCATCTCGATCGCCCCGGGCAGCCGAGCAGCGGCCGAGGAGGGCGGGCGGCTGGCGGCCTCGCCGAGGGCACGGCGCTGGTCGGCTCGGCGGCCTGCGCGCGGGGGGGGGCAAGGGCGGCAGCGGGCGCGGGCGGCCGCGGCGTCCTCCTCCTCCTCCTCCTCCTCCTCCTCCTCCTCCTCCCTCCTCCTCCTCTCCTCCTCCTCCTCCTCCTCCTCCTCCTCCTCCTCCTCCTCCTCCTCCTCCTCCTCCTCCTCCTCCTCCTCCTCCTCCTCCCGTCCAGAGCTCGGCGCGGGGGGGGGGGGGGCAGAGCTCCCTCGGGGGGGCGGCTCGACGATCGGGGAGCTGGAGGTAGGAGGGGGAGGCGAAGGAGGAGGAGGAGGACAAGGAGGAGAACGAGGAGGAGGAGGGGGAGGAGGAGCGGGGCTCACGGCGAAAAGTTTCTGGCTCGAGGATCGGGGAGGGGGGGCAGGAGGGGGCCTGCTGCAGAAGGACCTGCCCCCACACTGTTTGCGCATCTGCGTCGAGATCTGCGACCAACACGCAGAGCTCTCGCGGCTCCTCGCGAACACTCGATGCGTTCTCTTGGTAGGTCTTGACGCACATGCTGACCTCAGGAAGTGCTTAAGGAATCCCCTGGGAATATCCGTAGCACCGCTCCGACATCTGCCGAAAGGGGGGGGGTCTGAATCACCGCCTGAGGTTAATCTTGAACAAACGAAAAAAGAAACAAAAACAAACCAAAAAACAAAAACATTAAAAACACTCAAACATAAAACAGACACAACCACAAACAAAAAAGGAGACGAACAAAACCCAAACATGTAACAACAACCTAACTTTAAAAAAAAACTGGCTGTTTCGTCGTTTGTGCTGCCTGCTTTTCGTTCTTGCTTGCTGGCTTCTGGCTTCCTATGCTGATGTTTATCTCCTGTTGCAGATCAGTTCTGCAGCTGACCTCCGGCTCGAGGATCGGGAGTGGGCGGCGGCCTGTGGGGGAGGGGCGCGCGGGCGGCGGGGGCGCCGGGCGCTCGGCGCAGGCGGGAGGGGCCAGCCACTGCTCCTCTTGCTGCCCCGGGCCTGCATCGGGTGGAACACTGTGCTCAGAGGATCGGGGCTCGAGGCTCGCCTCGAGCCTCGAGCCCCGATCCTAGAAGGACTGGAGGTGAAGGGTCGGGACAGGAGGTGGCGCTGTGCTCAGAGGATCGGGGCTCGAGGCTCGCCTCGAGCCTCGAGCCCCGATCCTAGAACGACTGGAGGTGAAGGGTCGGGACAGGAGGTGGCGCTGTGCTCAGAGGATCGGGCTCGAGGCTCGCTCGTGCCCCGATCCTAGACTGGATCGGGACAGCGCTCTCAGAGGATCTCGA